GCGCCCTCGCGCACGCCGAACATGCGGGCACCAACCATGCGCGTATTCAGCATGCAGACGGCGCCCGCCCGCGAGCGCGTGCGCGGGCGCGCCCGCGCTTGCAAGGGCCCGCATCTACGACGCAAGCGACGTCCGAATCGACAGACGCAGACGCGCGCGCGCCCAAGTACATAGAAGCGTGCGCGCTTTCACTCGCACGCGCACGCGCGCATGCGCGCTTTCGCGCGCGTTCAAGATGCAGACGCGCGTGTGCAAGCGCACGCCTGCATGCGCCAGTGCCGCCCGCAGCGCGCAGGGGCGCGCCTGCATGCCGACGCTGCTCTGCTCAACGTGCGATGTGCCTCTAGATGTGCCCCATTCTGCCTAGTCGAGTCTCGCGTCTCATAGATGTTGCGTTTGCGCTGTTCCTTGCTCTTACCCGTAGCCATGCTACTACATGAGATAGAGCCAAACTGCGATGCCCCTCCTGGTCTCGTGCAGAAATGCTTGGGGACGGCGCTTGTTCTTGAGGCTGCGGAACAAAGAAGCGTTCAACATCGTTTCAGGTTGCCGTTGCAAGAATCGCGGGGCGGTCGCGGTCTGAGCGAATTCCGATGAGCGCCTTGCGAACGCGCGAGCGTGGGGAGTAGTTGCGATGGCGCGCGCATCTGGATTTGAAAAGCGACGCGCCCAATTAAAAACGCGACGTGGCCTCATTCGTCCGTTCAACGTATTCCGATGGGCCCTGTCTTGCAGCCCAGCCGCTGCAACCATTCTCGAGCTACTAAAATAGCGCGAGCTACCCCCTATACACGAGCCAGAGGAGGAGAGAGAGGCCGGGGAGGAGGAGGGTGGGAGGAGTATAGACGGGGAGGAGGAGGAGGCAGCTCGACGAGGGCCGAGGGGGGCGAGGCTCGAGAGACCGCGGCCCGCGCCCCCTCCGTGGGCCCTCCCGGGGCGAGCCCTTCGGGAGGGGGCTCCCGTGGCCTGCCCGGGAGCTCGGAGGAGGCGCCGGAGGGGGGGGGAGCAGGCCCGCCGGGCGCCGCCCTCCTCGACCGGCCTCGGGTGGCCCTCGCACTCCGCGGGCCTCGGGGGCGCGAGGCCCTCTCGCCCTCGAGGCCCTGGGCGCGCGCTGCCGGCATTTGGCATTTTGTTGTTTCGTTTTGTGTTTAGTTGTTGTTTTCTTGTTGCTCGTTTTTTGTTGTTTTTTTTGCTTTTGGTTTTTGCATCGTTTGTGTATTTTCTGTGTTCTTCTCCTGGGGCTTCTTGACCTCCCCAACCCAACCCGAAGGCCCCAATTCGCACTCCATTCCCAGAGTGGGGGGGGTAGCAGCGGGGAACATCGAACAGAGCACATGCTGAACCCGTACCCCCCCCCAACCCGAATTTCGGGTCTTCGGGTTACGTGCGTAGATTGGGGAGGTCTGGTAGGTAGTCCGTTGATCGCCTGAAGGATGCAGGGCGCGCGAGCCAAGCTGTGTTTGGGCGAAAGGCCGTGGACCGTTTTCGTTGTGGTCTCGTTCCGCAGCGCGAGGCGGAGCGAGACTAGGACGAGGGGGAAGCAACAGCACGGCAAACACAGAAACCCAGCAGCCCTTTGGGGCCCAGTCTTGCTTGGTAGACCGCCGTGTGCAGCCACGCGCGGGTCCTCAGCAGCGGCCGAGTGCCCGGGTCTCTCCCGGCCGGTGTGCGGCTTGGTGGAGGCCCTCGAGGGGCAGCTTCGTCCTGCGAGGCCCGCCGGGGACAGGGAAGACCCCGGCCCCACTGCGAGAACCATGGCGTAGTTCGTTGGCGAGCCGGCAGCCTGACACGAGTCTCGGGCGAGCGCAAACATGGCTCAAGGGTGCGTGGAGAAGCGACGGGTCCCGTTTCCAATTGGGGAATCGTGGATTTCCGCCGCCGAGCGAGGCGGCGCCGGCCGCATTTTGGGGAGGGCACCTCCCCTGATCCATGGATTTTTGGCGGCCGCGCGCCGAGGCCATGTATCGCCAATCCACGTTTGCGCCCCCCCCGAGAGTTTTCTCCAAGTACCCTCGTGATCGTCCCCCGGGGCCGGTTTTTAAGGCGCCTTTTCTGTGACTGGGGGGGGGGTCCGGCTTATTGGGGCGCTTCCTTTGGATTGGAGCTTGTGGGGTCCGGTTTATTCAGGCGCCCCGTCGAAGAGGGGGGTCTGGAATGTTAGGTCGCATTTGGAGGGGAGTTCGGTTTTTTTAGGGGGGGTTCGATGAATAGGGGATTTGGGGTAGGAGTGTTCCAGGTAGAGGGTTTGAGGAGGCACGGAGGGAGACTGCGTCTCCTGTTCTGGGGCGAGATATGCTGCTCTGCTGCGCCCCACCTCGCTCGAGGCGCACACGAAAGCAAGTCGTGTGCAGTACATGCTGGTTCGCGGCGCAGTGATGTGAACCAGTGGCGCAGACCACGAAGCACGATGGGTCAGAGCTCCCTGGACGTTCGTGTCGCCGCTGTCGGCTTCTCTTCCCACTCAGTAATAGCAGTGAGCATCTGCTGGTGAGCGCGCGAGGTCGGCTTCCGTGGCCGATGCCGGAGTGCCGGGGGGACCATCGGTGAGCAGCAGGCCCTCCGCTCCATGGGCTCCGGCGTTTTCGCGTCGACCCGACCCGGCGGCGGCCTCAGCGCGGGCGTTCCTGGTTGCACGCCGCTAGTGGTCTGGAGTCGGCCGCTACCGAACGATCAGCGCCATCGGAAAGCCGCGATCGTTAGAGGTTGAGCGATGAACGCTGTGTCAGACACCTACGCACAAGTCTCCACGGCACGAACCTGCCGCATTGATTTTCCATGCCTGTCGATCTCTCGGCTCAGCCGCCGGGCTTCCCGATGACGTCGCAGCTCCCTGATCCAATGTGTCATAGTGCCTTTCGTCCCTGGTTGTGCCGATCTGTCTTCAAAGTGGCAGTTTTGCTCCTGTCATTGCTGCTGTTTTGTTTTTTGTTTTTTTCACTCTCTCTGCCCCTTGTACTTGTCCTTCTCACCCTCACCCTTTTCCTCACCCTCCTCGTTCTTCCCGTCCGCCGGACAATTCTCAATATGAACATTACTCTCCTCTTTGCCCTGAATTTGTTCGAAATATCTCCCGCCCCCTCCGTATATGGCTTGCACAGGGTTGCAAGCGTTGGTATTCCCTTGGTTTGTTTACAATCCGATTCTTTTCGTTTCTTTCGACATGCTCCCGCTGCAGCGTGGGCCTCATTTTTGGATCGGCGCTGTGCTCGCGTTGCTCAGAAAGGCACTCGCGCCGCAGCGTTGGCCGCCCTTCTGGATTTCACAGGCCTCGCAGGGCCCGCCGCTGGAGTCCCCGGTCGTTCACACGGGTGTCGCAGGTCCAGCAGGCCCCACAGGTCCCACGGGTTAGACAGGCCCCGCAGGCCCCACAGGTCCCGCAGGTGCCGCGGGTCTCACAGGTCCCACGGGGGTCCCCCAGGGGGCGGAGGAGGAGGAGCAGGAGGCGGACGAGGAGGAGGAGGAGGAGGAGGAGGAGGAGGAGGCGGAGGAGGATCCCACACAGGTCTCACAGGTCCCGCCGGTCCCACAGGTCTCGCGCAGGTCACGGACGATCTCCACAGTTTCCACAGGTCCCACCGGCGTCGCAGGGCCGACAGGCCCCACGGGCCACGGAGGTCTCCCAGGTCGCATAGGTCCCACAGAGATCACCAGGTCCCACAGGTCTGCAGTTCCCGCCTGCCCCACAGGTCCCACAGGTCCCACGGGCCACGGGAGTCCCGCACGTCCCACAGATGACAGGTCCCACAGTTCTCACCTGCCCCACGGGTCCCACAGGTCACCTTTGCTGCTATCAGGGCGCTTTGGTTGGATCATGGGGTTCCATGTCGGCTATGACACGCGTCCGCGGATAGAAACAAATCAGCGCAACGGGAGGGGATGGGATGGATGGATAAGATGTCAGATGTGACGCGAGCGCACCTACCTTGCCCTCCCCCTCTCTCCCCCCTCCTCCCTCTCCTGGCTTTCCTCCTCGTTGAGGGGTTGCTCACGCCACCTTTGTGTCGGAATCCGGCGGGCAAAGGCAACCCGAATACCAGGAGTGCAGACTCACATCCTCATCCTTGGTTTTCTTCTCGTCCTCCGCTGTGTCCTCTTCGTCGTCATCATCTTTTCCAGAGCCCTCTGGAGATCACTCTTCGCTGTCTCGGGAGAGTCTTGGGGCCCTCTTGGGCCGCTTGGGTCCTCTTGGGCTTCCTGCGGGGCTCCCAGGGGGGGGGAGGAGGAGGGCGTCGTGTGCGACTCCAGGGGTCACTCCAGGGGCCGTCCTGGGGCGATATCGGGCCGCCATCGGGCCCTCGTGAGGCTATATTTGAGCCGTCTCGGGCGGCCCGGCGGGTCCCCTTGGCCCTCTGGGAGTCCCCGTGATTTCTCCGTGGATGGGGAATCCTGCTGGAGGCCACTTTGCGTCGTCCACGTCGGGGAGGGCAGCACCACGAGCGCATATACATCTCTGCGTGTGTGTGGTCGCTTCTCTGGGTCCTCCTTGAGCTGTCTTTTGGGGCTGGCCATCGGTGCCCTCATGTGCCATTTTGCGGCCTTCTTGGCTTGTCCTGGGCCTTTTTCCGGGGCCGTCTTTATTGTCTCGAGGCCTTTCTGGACCGGCTTCACAGTACTTGGAGTCCTCTTGGGCATTCTTCGGGTTGTGGGCCGTCCGCTTTGAAGCCGTCTAGACGTTACTTGAAGCCGTCATCGCCCACAGTGTCCACATGTATCTCCATGCTTTCCTGCCTCGTCTTGGGGCCCGAGGGTGGTGGACTGTGGCTCGTGGTGCTGTCCTGTGGCCCCCCTGGGGCTCCTTTGGCCTGTCCTGGTCGGCTCTTGGTGCTCTCTTGGGCCGTCCCGGGTCCTGCTGCCGTGTCGAGGCCCTCCTTGGGCTGGCTGGCCAGCCCGGATCGACTACGATCAATATCCTGCACGACCACCATTCGGGTGATACGGAGGTTCGGCAGGAGGAGGGGGAACCAGCGTCTCATTCAATCGATATCACATGGGACGATTTCCCAATCTCACAACAGATCTCACTATCGATCTCACTACCGATCCCACAACCGATGTTACTATGGATCTCCCCATCGATCTCTCAACAGACCTCACTATCGATCTCACTATCGATTTGATAATCGAATTCACTATCGACCTCACAAGCGATCTCACGACCGACCTCACAATAGACCTCACCATCGATCTCACAATCGATCTCACCATCGAGCTGACAATCGAACTCTCCATCAATCTCACATTCGGACGCACCATCGACCTAGAAACCGTTCTCGTCATCGGTCTGAGTGTTGATGTCATAATATTTCCCACCGTTGATCTCACTACCAGTCTCACAATCGATCTCACATTCGATCTCACGATCGATCTCAATATCGATCTCACTGTCGATTTCACTATAAATCTCACGAGCGATCTCACCATCGATCTCACAACAGATCCCACGATCGACCTCACTATCGATCTCACTGTCGAGCTCACCGCCGCGCCACCAACGGGACGCCCCGCGCCACCGACGGGACACCGCCGCGCCACCGACGGGACACCGACGGGCCACCGACCCGACACCCCTGGCCACCGCGCGCCAGGGGGGGGAGGAGCGGACAACCAGCTCCACATCCTCTGGCCACGGCGACATGATTCCTCTCGCGCGCCCACGCAGCTTCGCATCGCCCGCACGCACGACACGAAAACGAAAACGACACCGATTTTCTGGAAGGGGGGCTCTCCGCTCCACTGCGATGTCACCTCCTCGCCTCCGACCAGCAACACTGACTGATCGGGTAAGCAGAAACCTTCGAAGGCCCGAGCAAGTCTCGTTGGTCGGCGGCACCTCCCGCGCCGCCCACGGCTCGCTCCGCGCGCCAGGGAGGGGGGTCCAGCGCCGACCGCGCGGACCTTTGGGAGCTCGTTTCTATTGTCCCAGGGGAGCTGGCCCCATGGGGGCATGGCATCGACCCCAATCGGATGTTGCTAGAAGTGCCCCCTGGCCCAAGGCACCCCGACTCGGGGCGGCCCAGACGGCCCCCAGAGCACCCCTCACGAGGCACAGAGGGCCCCCGGGGGCTCAAAATGGATCGGAAGGCTGGGGGCACCTTGGGCCAGGGGCACTTCTAGCAACACCCGACCCAGAAACGCTGGCCCAGGGGGCGTGACATCGACCCCCAATCGCCCACTCATCCCCAGTCGGGGCCAGGGCCCCACCGCTCCGCCCGGGCGCGTGCCGTTGCGCTGTCGGGGCCCGTCGCCGAGAAACTGCTCCAATTCCAGGCCACTGTTTTTCTCTCCGTGAGGCTGTCCACGCCTCTCGATCGCGGTCGGACGTACAGGGGGGGGGTAGGAAAAGACGGGAGAGGGGACAGGTGGGATTGCAGTGGGGGCCCATGCCAAGAAGCGCCCCGCTCGCCTCCAGGGTACCCTGGGTTCCTTGGGTCTCGATGGTTTGGCGACGGAGAGCGCGACCTTTCCGCACCAGCAATCCGTGGACGTCCCGGGGGCTCCGGGCTGGGCTTCTCCTGGAAGGCTCCTCGTGGACCGGCCTCCGCCCACTGTGCGACGAGCTGCGGGGCGTGCAGCCGGTCTTGGCCCCCGCCCCCGGGGGCGCCGCCCCCCGGTGCAGAGCACCGGGGGGCGGCGCGGGGGGCAGAAGCCGGCCTCGCGCGAGCCGACGACCGATCGGCTGCCCCTCCCCACTCTCCCGCGCCCCTCCTGGGCACCTCGCCTCCCTGCTTCCTCCTCCCGGGCACCTCCCCCTTTTCCCGTGCCCCTCCCGGGCTCCTCCCCTCCCTGCTTCCTGCGCCCGCCCCAGGCCCAGGCGAGCGCAAACGCGGATCAAGGGGGGGCGTGGAGGGGCGACGGGCCCCGCTTCCGTGGGGCCCCGCGGATTCCCGCCGCCGAGCGAGGCGGCACCGGCCGCGTGCCAAATCCATCGGGCCCGTCCCTCCACAGGAGGAATATTCAAAACTAGTAAAAAATAGTATGGGGATTATTTTTTGAGTATTTACCTAACAGCTTTTGCTGATAGGGTTCTAGTGGACTCAAAAGAGAGCATTTGATGACTCCACATGCAGGGGGGTCTGGGCGGGTGCCGGGGAAAAGAACCGGGAACAGAGCCGGGCTCGTTTTAAGCCAACAGTCACACACACTTCGTGCTCTTCGACCTCCTAGAACTCCATTCCCGGGCCGCATTTTGAATAACCGGAGCCAACAGTCACACACTTCGTGCTCTTCGACCTCCCAGAACTCCATTCCCGGGCCACATTTTGGATGCCCGGAGCCAACTGTAGGCCACTTCGTGCTCTTCGATTTCCCAGAACTCCATTCCCGGGCCACATTTTGGATGCCCGGAGCCAACTGTAGGCCACTTCGTGGTCTTCGAGTTCCCAGAACTCCATTCCTGGGCATGATTTTGAATGCCCGGAGCCAACTGTAGGCCACTTCGTGTCTTCGAGTTCCCAGAACTCCATTCCGGGCCATCATTTTGAATGCTGAGGAGGCTGATGCTGAGGCTGATGCAGGCTGAGGCTGAGGCAGGCTGAGGCTGAGGCCGAGGCTGAA